TCTGTTCAAAGATGCCCTGCGAGCATGATGCGGCTGGTAGTGTGGAATCGTTAGGTTAATCGTGTTTGATCCGCGACCACTTCCCCCGCCGCGTCTACACGGTTCTTCTATACATTCCGGCAGTTTTCCCTCCTCCCTAGAATCTTGAGGTCCGTCGTACTCTTTCTAACCTTTCTCATCCCACAGATGTGGTCTGGTTTCTGGGATCTCATTTTTCCTGACGTTCTTGGTCGGCACTATACCCCGAGCCCTTTTACAGGTAGCAGACGCGGTACATCGCCTATGTGGTCAGCGCCTTCCTTCGTCCGGACAAAGTCCTCGTTCACGCGCGTTCAAGCAGATGTGTGCACTGCCTCTTGATCTGTCCAAGAGTCGAGATATTTTCGGTGCATACCTATCTCTATGACGTGCTATAACGTCTCCTTTGCTGAAGGATCGAGCTGACAGATGAAGTAGTGTTTCCAAGCCCTCGCTATTCCGGCATAGAGCTGTTTCCCACAGTCTTTGAGGCCGTTTAGTCTGGTTTCACGCACGATTTCGCCGAGTACGACATGATCGCGCCCCGTTCAACTAACCCGAAATGGAACGACTGTTGAACAGATGTTTCTATACTGGGCCTGTTGTTGACGTCTATTATTCATCAGCGAACGCGCAACACCAGTACTTTGACACGAAGGAGCGACGTGCGATCTCATGTGTCAGCTGGTTCCTCAAACGCAGACCTATATGTTCACGATCTCGTCGGATTTAACGGAAGTGGTGGGATGGCCGCTCTTCATCTGGGAACAGAACATCAGGCCACCTCAGCCAAAGGCATCCGCCAATGCTCTGGGTATCACCATATTCTTCGCCTTGCCTGACTGATCCGTGTCCGGCTGCCGTATCGTTCCATCTTCTGGCGCCGCCCTAACTAATGACAGCGGCGACCCGCTACCGGAGGAGTTCCATGATCTGGTCAAGCTGGTTAGCATGGCTGTCAAGAAGGATGCGAAGGCCGGCACTGTGGTGGCGAGGTTCTACGAGCTGCTCCTCCTGGTTAAGATCTTCAGGGCCGAGTCGGTGGTTGAGAAGCTAGCCAAGACCGAATTGCGAGGCGCTGGTGAAGGAGTTCCTCAAGAAGGGCAACATCACCAGAGGCCAGAGCGACACCAGCGCGAAGCTACTAAAGACGGCCATGCAAAACAGCTTGAACCCTGACCTGGAATAGTCCTATGGACTGAAATCTCGGGCAAATCGGGTAATAATGTAAAACTGTTCGAACGGCACAGTCTCATGCTGGTGGGGCCCTTGGTGCTGTGGTTTCCTCTTCGGCCACTTCTCTCTGTATCTATTGCGTACCTTTTGATCAGTTCATCGGCAGAAGCGGTATTTGAGTAGTGAGTCTACACGTCTTGAGAGCAGTGCCATGAGCTAACGTTGTTGTCAGGACGCAAGCCTACCGTTCCGATTGCGATGGGCCACGCTTGGCTTCGCCTAGACTACGGCCTGTTGTTGAAGGAATTGTGCAGGCCCAGCCAGACGCTCTTCGTTGTTGCCTGGGACACAGGCGACGGGATACACCAATTGCTGCCGACGGAGTTGACGCGACACCATCTCCCGCCCTTATATTCCACACAGCTAGGAGCATCATCGTGGATGCTATCTTCCGTTTGGGCTTCTTCGGGAGACGCATCTAGGGTGCCAGGAATGATTGGCATCTATCGATACTGCCTCGACCATCATTGAGGGCGAATTTCAGGTCAGCGCAAATGGTGATTTCCTTTCTTGGAACTCGCTCGGCATGTTTGAGGCCGTATACGAAATCTTTGACAATCACTTGAAGGATCGCTTCGAGGGATTGGCCTTTGTGGATCGGGCAGCTCATTCTGTTCTAGCTATCTCAGTTCTAGGCCATGGGCCCTGGAGCCCGAGATGGAGTTAGCCTCAACAAGCCAGAGGTCTGCCAGGAGGGCTACCTGTTCTCGGCGGTGGCCCAGTGGCTGATCGCGCACCCCGAGGACTTCGCCGACGTCGACACCATGAGCTCCATTGCTAAGCGCTGGAACACGACCATGGCTATGACGAGAGACATTCTGGTGGGTAAGCCCCCGGGGCCCGATCCCGTGGTGGCGGTACGAACACTTGGAAAGACTTCTCACACCTCCGTGCTCCGTTCTGCCCAGCTAGGTTGCGGGCTACCGCAACGCAATCCTGATCGACGATGAGCACGACGTCGTCGAGATAGCAGACGACATGGATGTCGACGTTGTTTCCATCCCGTCCACCGATAACGAGGCCCCCGAGGAAAATCGACGCGAGAGCGCTGGAGGACGAGATGCCGTTGACGGGGGCTTGTATAAAGCAAGCAAGAGCCACTTCGTCGGTTTTTTTCTCTGCCGCAGAGTATAAAGACATGCGTCGTTGCTGGGGGGAGACTACCAGTTTGAAGCAAAGCTAGCGAATCAGTAGCATGCTGTCAATTTCGGAGACTATCGAGGAGAAGCCCTTGGCACGAAGTTCAACACAGATCACCACGATCACACACACCTTTTCTCTCCCACACTCCCAACTATTATTATTGTTCCAGCGGTGAGATGACTTTCATCTACTTACTCGACCTGCCGGTTATCTACCTTATGCGGCCACTCCGACTACGGAATATCCCTTTGACTATTGTTCATTGTCGTGCCGCTGCTTCTCAGCCCTTATATCTCGGCCATGGGCCCCACGGAACGAAGTGCTTTCCGCATGGCGTTGATCATCAATCTTGGATCGTTTCAAGACTCTGGCCTCCCGCGTCAACTCGAATGAGAACGTCCAACGCCACGAGCTCTTTCGGGCGGGTCACTGCTTGTGTCACTGCTCGTGTCTGCCGTCCATAGCAAGGTTGTCGCGCGTGTTGAACGTCGCCCCTGCGCTTTCGCCAACCCACCACATCGATATTGCCACTTGGATCTTTTGACGATTCCCAAACATCATCTGCACGGGCACCGTCTCCCACTGTACATCGCTGCGCCCGTAACAAGAGCCCCGTATTCAACTAATCACTTTGCACGGACACGCCGGAAACCCACGTAGCCGTGGTAGAATTCTGTCACCAAATACGTCGATATTGGTCGGAAGTACACGAACCAAGCAATCAACAATCAGGACCTCATGATTTCCTCGGAGCGCCTCGGGCCCTGCTGCTGGACGTGCTCGTCCTCAGCTGCCAGCCCAGCCGGCTGAAGAGGTCGATGAAGACGATATCGTCGGCGCCACGAGTGCCTCTGGTACCCCCCATCGGCCCTGACCTGACCGAGGACCCGAACGAGGGCCATTTCGAGCTTCTCGTCGATGTCTCTGAGGAGATCGACCGCAACGTCCCTACGGGAATGGCGGTCTCTCACGCGAAGGAGCTTCGCAACACCCAGGTCCGCATTATCTATAACCGTCGGAAGACCGTGGTTAGCCTCGCCTCCCCCGCCCCCGCCCATACCGGTGTCCCCACAGAGGACGATTTCGATCTCCCTGTCGCGGTGTCGCAGGAGGTCGATCGCGAGGCACTCACGAGCATGGCCGTCTCCTTGGCCAAGACCCTCCGCGGGATGAACGTTCGCGTCATCTCTAACCGTAAGGAGGTGATCGTTAGCATGGCCGACAAGGCCATCAAGTTGTCGGACGTGATCTTCGGTACCCTGTTGTACTGCTTGAAGAAGGACTTGATGGCCATGGTGAAGGGAGCTCGAAACCTGGACAGTATCATGTCCGGCTTCGAGTACCACGGCAACTCTCAGAACCCCCGCGTGCTCAGGAACTTGATCTGGGGCATTGGCGTCATACAGTCATACACCGACTATAGCGGTGCGGCCGTTATCTGCCTTAACCTCATCCGGGTTAAGGTATATAATAACTACCAGTACCTCTTAAGGACTCTAGATTCCGACCGGGAGTCCGCCCTCAAGGAGAACCTCCTCGAGGAATTCAAGATCCTCAACGGCGGGCCCCGTCACCCCGGGCAGAAAAACGAGACCGTTGCCCTGAAGGTGCTCGAGAAGCACTTGGCCATCTCGTCCAACGACGTCCGCAGAATCATCAAGGCCGCCAAGTTGCCTTGGATTCTAGCCTTGGTCTGGGGTCGCGGCAGCGTCATGCCCCCCCCCCCCCCTCCCCCACCCCCTGAACAAGAGCGGGTATATTTACATCGTCTCCTTCTTCCAGTTTATCGTCATCCGCCAACAACCTCCTGTCGGTCTCGCCAGGATTTCGACTATTGGAATTTGATTAGCCGGCCAAAGTAAAGGAATGTACGAATTGTCTGGGCAATATGGACTCTGCAACTCGAATTGTCTTTCTGACCTCCTCATTTTGCAGAACTCCGTTGGCTTAGCACAAGTCCTCCTCCTCCGTCCAAACCTCATACCTAGCAATACACCAGATAATTGACTTCCCCGTCGAAGCTTTCACCGACGATACCATCAACCTTACGAAACCAATACCATTCGTTCTCACTATAGGCCATACCAGGGGCCCGCGGAGGCAATCGGCTACGAGTTCATCCATTGCTGTCACACACCTGAGCGCCCCTCAGACTAGTGAAGCGCCCACAGCCGTCGTAGCGAGTCAGAAATACTGACCTGGGCCCGTTTCGAGTTGCGAGACACACGAAAGAGCGGGCCGGGTTGAGTGCTCAGCGCTGTCGCTGCTCCGTCGCTTCTCCCGCGCGTCATACTAATAGTGCCTTAGGTCCCCAAGTCTACGGAATCTGCGGTGCGCACCCTCTGGAGCACCGCTCTCGCCTCGAACAATGACATCCACGATCTTGAGGTTTGTCGCCCTGTTGTCGCTGCTACTCGGGTCGCTAATATTGCTCTATAGCTCTGGCAAACCTACAGAACCGCCGCTAGTAATGCGCAGAGGGCGCTCAAGCGCGCCGGCAAGGAGGCCCGTTCTACCCCCGTTATTAATAGTAATAACGACGAGGCAGCTATAAGCTCCTCCCGCGCTACGTCTTCGTCCCATAACGACGCTATAATCGCGCTTCTACGTACCATCCGCGACGAGGTGCGCCGTTCGAACAACATTCTGGCCGCGGTATGGTCGCCCCGCCTGCGCTCCGTGTTCGTAGCTAATTATTTGCAGATCCGTCAACAGCAGGGTGACCACTCACAGCCAGACAACTTTTGACGGCTTCTGTTTTGCTCGACCCTCTTAAGCTTGCTTACGGTGGACTTCAGCTGCCATAGGCTGCTCCGCGTCTGCACCTTCTTCCCCCGCTTCGAAGGCGCCAAAACCGTGTTCCGCGTCACCTAATCATGATGGAAGCGGGCAATGTAAGTGCCCGTCTCGTCGTTCATCCTGGCCAAGCCGGTCTACGGACCTTCGGTGTCTGGACTTCCGTTTATCTCGGGATATCGCGGATCGTCGGATCATCTGGGAGCTACAACGAGAACGTATACCAGCGGCCCTCAAGCGACTGCCTATGCGCGTCTGTGGTGTGACCGACCGGGTCAACAACAAGGATGATAGTCCCGCTTATTGTTGCGTTCCTCTTGAGTATATACCACCCCTGGCAAGATTCCTCACATCACACCTGCTGTCGCTCCTACGGGATTTCGACAATGTCCTTGGTGCTCTTTAGCACTTATGAGCAGTGCAGTGCGGGCCTCCACGGCTTCCCCGGGACCAGGTACATGGTTCACTTCTGCGGGCGATTCCAAGGAAAAACGCAAAACATCAAGTTAGTGGACATATCCAAATGTGTTGGGCTTATTCGAGGAGACGGCCGAAGTGATCGCGGGGGTTAGCGAGCACCACATCATTCAAGTCAGGAAGACATGAGAAGAGCCGATGTTGGCTTGCTCTTCTTTCTTTCCTCCATACATGGAAGTCATCTTTCGCGCTATTAGCGTCGACTTAGCAAGATATTATCATGGAGGACCACGTCACCCACTTTCTCCTCGACCTCAAAGACATTGATTTCACGTTGAGCGTGACACCGGCGCAACTGTGGCAAGCAGGAGGTGGACAGCATGTGAAGATCTCCGTGATCGAAACCCACGGGTCAGAGCTCGCCGGCAGCGATCTTGGGATTTCTTGCGAAGCTAGTCATGTATGGGTGCTTTGCCAATCAATGGTCGGGTAGGTAGCGGATCGATATCTATCAGAGACTCTTTGCTAGACGCTCACATGAGCCTCCAGACGTGGAAGATTTGGACATGTTTGGCCACTGTATATCCGCTCATGCCCATGAAGGCTATTGGCGATGTAGTCACACTAGCAGCTGCTGATGCTACTGTCCGTCTCCATCATCCAGTTACTGCAGCTGGGTAGACAGCATGGAACTGTGCCGTACAATTGGCCCCTCCGTTTACTTTTACTTTTGAGGGATCGTTTTCTTTGGCCAATTCTTCACCAGCCAATTGGCTGCCCTGCGGACGCGTATACCAACACTGTGTCTCTGGTTTCGAGCATGCCGTCTTGGGTCATCAACCCAAGCCGGGCCAGCGGGTTGCCCGATACCAACGGCCTCGTCAAGGCTAGGGAGCGAGAATCTTCGGACAAGGCAACGAACACGGTGTCTGTCGAGGACCTGTTGGGTATGGAGTGGACCGACGAAATCCAGGTGGCTTGCTTTGCTCAGCAGGTCCACTCGGAGAATCACCTTCTTACGACGCGCACACGCAATCAGTCGGGGTGCGGGTGTGGTCAGTATCTGGAATCAATCGTTCGCAGACCAGTCCCATCCGTCATGTTGTCGTTCTCGAAGTCGAGTACATCAATCGCATCTGTCCAGAACACGTCCTCAAGACTGCTAGCTCTGGTATGGGTGTTAGTGGAGCTCTATCGGAATGTCAACCTGGAGCCCTCAACATCGACCACAGTAGGGCTACAAGCCAAGAAGATCACCATAAGCTCGGATTTCATACCATCCATCATAGGGCAAATCCGAAGAAATGAAGACTCGAGAGGTATAACAGAAGACGCTAGTACGATTGACTAAACGCCGTCAATATACATGTAATCTCTAAAGTAAACCAACAGACCAACGCTACAAGATCATGAGTCTAGATAGTCTCAGAATGAATCCTACCGTACTACACCCCCAATTTCGTAGTCAACCAGCGTGCAAGTCGAACGCACTTCTGGTCAATAAATCTCCAGTGCAAATCTCCGAACCACAAGGTGAGCACAATTACCACGGTAAAACTGCAAGTCCAAGCCACACCGAGAGAATACCCGGCGTTCTGCATCGAGAACTTGAGACCCAAGCCGAGGAAAGACCTCTCAACAGCCCAGTGAACCAGATACATGCCGAAGCTGACCTCGCCCAGGTATAGCACCCAGCGCGCGTTCAACAAGCGCTGCAAAGGCGGCAGGTTCTCTAGGGATGTTACCAGTATCATGGCACCGACGGCCGGGAAAGTGCGCGCCGGGTCCTGGCCGAACGTGGGGAAGATTTCGAGCCACCCGTATCCCACGGCATTGAAGGTGTGGCCATTGATGGGGTAGCCTCCTAGCCAGAGCGAGAACACAAAGACCAGCCACCAGCTGTACGAAGCCGTTCTCTCAAGTGAACCCTCCAGGCTCGGTAGCTTGTTCCGCAAATGGCGGATGTCAGCAAGAGCCATGCCCCAGAGAAAGAGGCAAGGCTGCCACATGTCTCCATCCGCGCCGAGAGTCCAGAAGAAAACGAAAATGATCGCCACCACAGATAGCCGGGCTAGGGGAGATACCCGTGCCAGGGCCAAGCAGCACAGGAACACGAGAATTGATCCCCTGAACTCAACCGACAGTGTCCAGGCCTGAGGCAAGAAGCTGGCGGTGGTGGTCTGAGTTGTGATGATGATGAGATTTTGCCATACCAAGACGAGAAGCGCCAAGATGCCGGTGGCTGGGGCTGCCTCAGGATCCCTGCTTCCGCTATTGTAGTACAATCCGTATGTTTTCAAGACGAGGACAATGAAAAGGAGGGGAATAGTCGGGAAGAATAGCCGCATTCCGCGGCGGAAAACGCTTGATGGAAGGGACCCAATGCAGGCTTCGACTTGTCCACTGTGAGCCTTCTTCAATGGGCTATATGTGAGCACAAAGCCGCTGAGGACGAAGAAGATCATGACGCTCAAGACTCCGCAGTGGATAAGTCGGATGAATGGGAGTTGCAAAAAGTAGTGATTGTTCTCATCCTCTCCCCAACCATGATTGATGAAAACGAACTAAACACCAGATTATCAGCCATCTTCTCATAATGGTACATCCCGTTCAATGAATGCTCACATCATCAGTGTAGTGGAGGATAATGACGACCATTGCCGCGATGCCACGGAGGCCGTTCAGGTACGACGTTGAGTGGGAATCAGGGACCACGGAATTTTCGTCCCCATGACCGTATGCGTGGGCCACGAACGATGGCACCAAGGTCCAGAAGATGCGTCGTGCATGGGAGCGGCGGAACCGAAACCAGCTCCTTCTGGTGTACTCAATTGGCTTTTCTTCTTCGTACGATAGTTCAGACAGATCTGCCGAAAGATCTGCTTCCTCGTCTTCAAGGAGTGGCTCGTAGGACTCGCCCGCCTGCTCTCCCGAGAACCAGCCACGTACGGTATCGGCAGACTCCTTGGAGAGGACCTTCATGGCCGTGCCGAGCTCGCCTTGGTTCAGCATCTCGAGCTGTGTTATACAAAAGGGATTGAGAGAAGCAAGGCAAAGAGGTCGCGGCGAGGAGGCGGTCTGGTTTGAAAAGAACTGTTCGAGAGGTAGTATTGTTGTGAGTCTCCCGGATTTCTGCAGTGAATAGGCTTCGCGATTTATAACTCAAGACTTGAGGCTGCGATGTATGAACCCTAGCGAACAAGCTGTGCCGATAAGAAACCGAGGCAATCAGGAATGGGAATGCCAAGGGAGGAGGGCGAACAGGGCCGGATGAGGAATCGCATCCGAATCGGAACGCCGCTCACCAGTGAGTGGTCTGCCCGAGACTCGAGGCAATGCAATGAGAGGCCACAAGATACATCAGCATTCCCAATCATATATAGCTGTGTCTCAGTCAATCCCAAAGATATTCAAGCTTCGACACTAACAAAGGGGGCTTCCAGATGGCACTCATCGCAGTCAGGATCGTAACCCTATATGTTCAAGCCTGGGTATATCAATAGTCGGACTTTGCCCAGGACAGAAGAATGAAAACAACGACTCGGCATCATCGCAATGTTTACTTTCGAATGCATGAGTTCGACCTTTCTGAGCAACTAAGTTGTTGAGCCTGCACTAGTGTATTCGTGAGGCTAATCGTTCCGCCCGCGCCACCATGCTTTTGGGTTGTGAGACATGGGCGGTTAAGTCAGGGGCCAGGGAGATCTCGGCACTGATGGGGTTAGTCGCCGTTACACACATTTGGGAGAATCCATTGCGAGACATTCCATGCAAAACGTGTTTGTTACACGATTTCGACCCCCTACCAAGCTTGCGCGAGGAGATTCGCTGCCACGCTAGAGGGAGTGTCGTGATCTCATGAACAACCCCACACCCACATTCCACGATCCTCTGTGCCTGCCAATAAGCTACGGGAGTTGCTTACCGAGTGGCGAGGACCATAGTCTCGGCCCGCGACAAGCAAACATTCCGAACATACGAGGACAAGGTTGAGAACGCAATGCTCAGCTCGATGCCGATGGGATGCATCACAAGCATCAAGACAACGACAGAAAGATGGCTACTGTTTTCAAGTCCTGCTATTCTCATTGCATGGTACCATTATCTCAGCCGCAAGTCACAGAGTTGGAATCCGCAGTTCCTTGGGCTTGGCGTGAAGAATTTCAGCCGCAAGCCATGGTACCACTCTCAAGCCGGAGCTTCGGAAGCACCGTCGCAAGTGACCCGATGAATCTAGCCTCTGTCCACATGCACGATAGACTTAAAAGTTTAAACAAGGGCCAATGTCCATACCAATCATGATATGAAGAGGTCGGTTTATAATCTTTGGTATGCAGTGTTATCATATCGCCCTTGAGAGACATCCCTTAGATGGAGGTGGAAAGTCCCCTTTTTTGATTATAGGTAATCCTCGGGCCCTTTCCTTTGCCACAGCTATTGAACACGGAAAGAAATGATCTGATAGTAGGTAGACATGGGTTCGGGGAAACAGTGGCTTCCCTGGATGGAAAAGTACATGCAAGAATCTGGCGGCTATAGCTTCGATGCTGCAGCAGGGCCGTCGCAACCACAGCCGTCAGCATCTTTTACCGCCTTGCTAGTTTCAATCAGAGTGCTCTTGTTGAAACTCTGCTCGCTAGGAGGCACATCCAATGCGGGGTTCTTGTCAAAGAAGTTGACAGGCTTCAGATGTACCTTGAGAATTTCGACCGGCATGACGGGGAAGTCTTCGATTCTTGGCACATGGTTGATGCCGAACTGCACCCAGACGACAATGTCAGACTCGGCAGTCAATGTCTCATTTCGCTCAGACCAGCCCCTAACACCGGTGCCTCCACGAGACTGATTGGTATACCAACCGCCGGCGTAAAGCTCCCGATCTCGATGTGTTGTGACATAAATGTTGTGGTCCGCGAACTCGGCGCGCTTGTAGTTAAAGCTGTCGTTATCGCTCATCAGCTTCTGGAAAGGCGGCGCCATGATCTTGTAGGCCACTGGTTTCCCGTTGATGGGGTTGAGGGACTTGGGGTTGGTGATCTTGAACGTGCGGTTCACGTCAAAGTCAAGGTCAAGACCCGATGTTTTCTCCACGACCTTGTCGATGACTTCATAGCCTGTGCCGTGGGGGTTCCAGTTGGGATCTCGCGGCATTTTGTGCGCTTCCGAGTACACCAGCTGATTGGTGTGTCCATCGATCATGGGGTCGACACGCAGGGAGAAGATGTGTTGATGGTGTCCCGCGAGGACACCAGGGTGGACAACGGTGCCGAAAGACGTGCCGACCTTGTCCAACTCATGGTCAATGGGCTGTGTTGATAGAATGCCGGTAGCTCGGACTTCGTAAGTCACCTCACCCGCCTGATTAAACAAGAACATCAGGATGTACTCATAGTTGGAGACCGTAATGATGCTCTGAAGCACTAACTCGCGAGATCGGACGAGCGCGGCACGTCCTGTACGGTAGTTGGTGTGCTTCCAGCCAATGCCTGCATCTTGCTCGTGGATGCAGATGCAGTTATCTCTGGACTCCGGCTGACCGCGGTCATCGGAAATTACACCACTGAGGTACTGAATGCTTCCCAGGCAGTCACAGCCCAGCTGCAGGTTGTTGGCAGTGGCTCCCGCGCCCGCATCACCGAGATCGAAAGCGGCTTTCTTATGGAAGGGATGGCGCGGGTCGCCATAGGGCACACTCATCTCTGAGAGCGACAGTCTGTAGAATAGCGGACGACCGTCATACTTGACGTTGTACAACACCATACCTTCGCGCTGGTTGAAGCCTGGAAAACTCCGTGTTAGCCACTATTCCCGGCCATTTTATTCTCCCTCAAGTACGCTTTACATACCGATGAAGAAACTCCACTTCTGCCACTCGAGCACATTTCCGGTCTCTCCCACGGGCGTGACGGTGAAACTCGGTCCCTCGGGTTGAACAACCTGCAGAGGCTTGAGGTCTTTCCGGAGGTTCTGGGCTTCAGGGATATACTCGTTTCCTGGCTTAGGCGTGTATGGGCTAAGGGGCTTGATGGTGTTGTCCGCACCAGTGGGAAGAATGTCAATGCGGATGATCTTGTACTCGTTGCATTCAACCACAGGCAGAATTGGTAACGGGAAAGCATAGTGATTAGAGTCGGGTTCGGATGAGTTGTTGGGGTCTCTCATATAGAGAAAAACTTGATATAGACGGGCATCATCGTTGACACCATCAGATCCTGGTGGAACTTAGTTGTGAGAAACACGATCACTTAGTTTAGACACCCACCGTAGATCCACGGATCAGCGCAGACGACTGTGCCTTCAGGTAGCTCGAGTTTTTTGATCTCGGCAAGGACCTTGGGGTCCTCGAGTGCAATCTTCTCGACCAACTGAGCCTCATCATAGTCGACGTTGCCGTGGACATTGGCACCAAGCTTGAGGTTGCTCTCAACCTTTCCGCTTGTCAGATTGACCACCGCTTCGTGGAAGAGATCCTATGATGGGTCTTGTTAGTGTTCTTGTCGGAGCTCAAATAAGCGAAGCCTGGATGTCGTACCGTTCCCCGGATGTAGTACGCAAGGAAAGCCCTGCGGTCAGGTTGAGTCGCAGACAGTCCCTTATCCTTTGCGTCCAGGTAAGGTGCCAGTTCTCCCTTGGCGGGTTCACTGAGAGTCACCACCTTGAACCGAAGAGAAACAGATGTTGGCCAAGCAGTCTGAATCACTTGAGCTGCGGCTTTGATCTCCGCACCCGAGAGGGGGCAGAGGGGGTGTGGTGCTGACATGCTGGAGATAGGCATTGTAATTGAGGGGTTGTAAATGAAGAGACTCGAAATGATTTCAAGCACAGATGAGGGGACAGAAAGGTTTTATAAACGCAGTCCGGTAATGTGTGGATGTGTGGATGTTGGCGGCACCGTTGTTGCTGGCCTCAAACCGGGGCGGGAACTCTCCTCCTTATCGGACCCCGTTGCAGCGACGTAAGTTCGGCGCAGGTGATCCACATTTTAGGAGTGGCGCTTGACCCGCATGTCCCCATCCGGGTATAAGCGTCCTGCAGCTTCGTTCCATGCTGTCACGGCACCTTGGCATGGCTGCTTATCACCAAGTACATGTATCATCCTTGTCCGAAGCTCTGTCTCTGGGCTCCGGTTTGTTGCCTTGACTTTCGTAGATGTCTTTTGGTCTGGGCTAAAGGAATAGCCAACTATCTTCCAGTGACCAGAGATAGTTGAGCCAAGACTTTGCCATCTTCTCATCATCGTCTCGGGCCCAGATCCTTTCCAGCATCTCAATGGCATTTCTAACATTGTAGCAACACGACGATATCCAGATATTCCTGAAGATTTCCCGTACCATAATCTTAAGATCGGCCGCTTGGATCTCTGCCCCAACGACAAAGGCCGGCCACACCAGGCTCTTCACATGGAAGTCCTGGGCTGAAATGGAGAGCATATGGAGTATGCCGGATCGAGTTACCCCTTCGAGATACAGGTCAGAGAGATTATGCCCTTGATCGAGCAGCGGCCCTACAATGTGAGAGGCGTAAACTTCAACCGCCGCCTTGTAAGCGTGCGCAAGGTGCGATCGTGACTGATAGTGCTCCGGATCTGGGAAATTCTCTGCCCAAGCTGATGGCGAGAAGTTGTCGAGACCTTTGCACAGCTCATCGACCTTCAACTGCTCTGTCTCAGAACACGTCGAGAGTGATCGCAAAGAGTTGATGACGGAAACTAGGTACAGCAGCTCGGCAGGACAGCCAACCCAAGTTTGATCTTCCGACTGGCGCAAGATCCTTAGGAGAGACGGATCAAGGGATGCTAGTTGCTGAGCGAAAGAGCCCTTTGCTGGCGCCAGTGTTGCGCCGATGATCCCAAATCTACGAGGAAAGTTAGGGGTGAATCCACGCAAGAGCTTTCAGGAAGTGCCCTTACGTCGTGTAGGCTGTGTCAAAATATTCCAGCCAATGATCGGCTCCAATACTGCGATTCTGAAGGGTAGCTTTACGCTGTTGGAGTATTTCACCAGCACCTCCCAGGTGATGCTCCCATCCACGGCTGCCAAACTCAACCACGTCCATGCAGATAAATAGAACGATAGCTGCCACTGCGGCATCGTTGTTTGTCACATCGTCGTCCTGGATTTCTATCTTGAGATATTGCAAGGCTCTTTGCTTATGAGCTAGAGCTACACGCAGTGAGGGCGAGAAGTTTGGCTGCCTCAGCTGCCAGTCGCGTCCCTGTGACTTATGCCACAGTGAAGTATTCTCAACTTCAAGAAGCCTTCTTTCCGCACAGGAAATTTGCATCTGGCTGATGACCAGCCGATGAGAGTAGTGAAAGGCCGAGATTGCGATCATCGCATGGGACAAGGCATGACTTCTGGACATAAGCGGCATCAGGGACAAGAAAGGATTGCTGGATGTCTGGTAAACGACACATTCCTTGGACATTTCCATGTCAACTAACACTGCATTGTCAGCGCCTTCACCGTGGGATGGTTTCGTTCTGGGTTACAGCTTACAATAGCGTATGTACTTCCGGCAATCAACTGACAAGTCTTGCAGGTCAGGATCGATGAGAGACCATGACACGTCAAGTGATGCCGGCAGTGCTTCGCGCAAAGTGTCCCGAGGGTGTCCCACTGCGAGACGGCCAGACTGACAAGGCCTTGCGGCGATAAGATCATCATTCGGTTCTTGATCTGCGTCGTATGTGGCTTTTCCCATCATCTTGCCTCGGCTGGCCACACTATTGGTCCACACCAACCTCTTCGGTCGATCATATCCTTGACACCGAAGCTTCAAGGAGGTACAGCGGAGGCAAGTCGGAAGGAGTCTGTCACACTTGGCCCGCTTCTGCCGACAGGTCCAGCACGAATTGGAAGCGTGGGACGCGTCTGGCATGATGGATGGAACATCGTTGGTTGGCTGCCGAGTGTCTTTAATGTTGGATGTTTGCGTGGAGTTGGGTCCGGGCAAGGTGTGGAGGCCGCGGTGGTGAAGGTTGGGGGGCGGGGTGTTTTTCTTATCAAATGGCAGACCCGGCGGATCGGAAGGCCGGCAGGATATGCGATCAGCGCTAGGCCTCATCAGGAAGCCAAGACGCGGCCCTGGTCACAACCCCAGATTCGTCCCTCACAGGCTCACCCTGATCTCGCTGGGGCTTCAGAGTTTGGGGCCTGAGACTCTTCCCGATACCAAATGTGAGCGATTTCTGTGTCTTTTGGTCAACGAAAAACTTTACAATTCATGCATTGGCAGTTTTCTTGAGGGTACGGTGGATCATTGTGAGTCTTTCATAGACCTCCATCGTGGAAGGCCTTAATCAGGTACAACCCGCCCTCGACTTTGCACTTGTCCCAAAAGCCTTATCATTGAGTATAGAGGAAACTTGTTCTGTTCGTTCTGATACCAGCGTAGCAGTTATTATCAAGTCTGCTGGTTCATTCAATTGACCAAATACATCCTTGTGCAGAGGCCGGATCCGCTTCCCCCGACTTCCGCCGCATTCGGCTCCGTCCTACCAAAGCCACTCGCAGTCAACTTCCACTCCAGCTCATATGAGCATTATTCAATCCGCAAAAGTTCTCAAAATCTAACAAACCATTGGAGTTTCTTACCATCTGGAAGATGAAATACCGTGGTTTTTCGGCATCTCGCTTCGCAAAGGTAATCGCCAATTCCCCGCATTTACAATGATTCTTGAAGGGCTCATTGGTCAATACCAAACTCCTCAGTATTTCTCGTATTCTCGGGACCCTCTTCCGGGCCCCATCTTGACCGGACCGGGTCGGCCTTCCGATGCGGGGCTTTGCCGTTGTCCAGCCTGCGCCGGGTGACATTCTGCGGACGCCTATATCGGAGGGTACTGGCACCGAAATTCGGCTACTCATTTCAGACGTTTCCTGCCAAAAAAAAAAACTGATTCACCGAGGAACCTAGACTGACGTTTAGTCTTTACCTTTTCGAAAGCACCAGAACAATCTGTTTGCCCAAGGTCGCCATCCGCCCTGGCATTCACGATGTCTACTAGTGAGAAGAGCCCTTTTTGGGTCGAGTCCGAGGACTGGCATACTGCCGGCGAACCTTTCCGTATCGTGGACAGGCTGCCAAACGGTTATCTACCCGAGGCCCAAACCGTAGCCGATCGTCGTTTCGCAGTCATCAAAACTCCTGGCCACCCGTTAGATGAGCTTCGCCAATCACTATGCCATGAGCCCCGCGGCCACGCAGACATGTACGGAGGTTTTGTCACGCCGCCTGATGACTCTGGGGCTCACTTTGGGGTCATGTTCTGGCATAAAGACGGATTTTCGACTGCATGCGGGCATGGAACCATCGCCTTGGGATACTGGGCTGTTACAAGGGGACTCGTCGAAGCACCCAAAGATGACGGAGTTGTCGACGTCATTATCGATGTTCCCTCTGGGCGCGTGGTTGCCAGCGTCGGCGTCAAGCAGGGCATACCTGTCTATGCCGACTTTGTCAACGTGTTGAGTTACCAACTTGTCAAGGACCTGGAGGTCCAGATCCCGTCTCATCATGCAACTATCAAAGTCGACCTTGCCTTTGCTGGTGCAGTCTACGCTACGCTTGATGCATCTCAGATCGGATTAAAGGTGGAGCCTAGCAGCCATCAAGACCATATCAAACTTGGCAGAGAGATCAAAGCATTCATTGGTGACAAGGCCAACTATGGCACCTACGATCTCTATGGCGTGATCTTCTACAACGAAGAAGGCGATGTCAATAACGAGCGAGACGAGGTGAAACAACGAAACGTCACCGTCTTTGCTGATGGACAGATTGATCGTTCTCCGTGCGGTTCGGGTACCTGTGCAAGGCTTGCTGTGCTGCTTGCGCAGGGCAGGATAGCACCGGGTCGCTCCAAGCTTATGCACCGGTCCATCGTCTCTACTCGCTTCCAAGCCGACATCGTATCCGAAGAGACAAGTCCCGTGGAAGGCTTTCCTGCCTGTATCCCACGCGTCCGGGGTCATGCCAATCTAGTTGGGCGGATGAACTTCTACATCGATCCTTCTGACCCGGTTTACCCCGGCTTTCTTCTCCGCTAAACATCGGGCTTTCCAGACCCCTTCGACGGCTTCGGACCCAGTTTATGAAGCTATCGCCGCGCCGGATTCTGTCTAGCAGTTGAGCAAGTTGCGCGAGGCGAAGACTTTTTCATGGCGCTGTCAAATCAAATGCGGACGCTACCGACAGCCATGTGACTTAAAGCAATTCTGTAGCCTAACCTATCGACGCCGCGGTAGAAATTTTGCTTATCTGCACATTACTCGACCTGAATGACGCTGCGCTGGAAGTAAGTTTCATAGCAACCGGAATGACCGGCGATCGTCGATTGTATTAGTTCAACTGAATATTGATTAGGCATGATCATTTTGACCATGTTCTACGATGTTGAATGTCCCTTACGAGTCATCGCATCCTGTTTCGTCCTCTGCTCAAGTCATCAAGAGTTATTGCCAGTCGCAACTCCCCAGAAGTATCCACACCAACTTCCCAAGATAAGCACGATCAATGCTACGAAGCAGCTCTTGGAGATGAGTCTGTTCTTCTCGCCATTCTGCCCGTAGAACCTCTCCTTCCTGACGTTGAGGATCTCGCCACGCGCAATGCGCAGTTTGCGTGTCCACTGAAGGTGTCCCAGGTCGACGGACTTCCAGGAAGCAAACGTCAGGAGGAAAGAAACGACCACCGAGATTCCAGCAAGAATGACGTAGACAATAGTCACCTTGTCGTAAGAGTTATTGTCGTTGTCTTGGATGACGCCAGTAATGACGCGGACGACAATGTTCATCCTGAAGAAGAAGCATCATGTTAGCTTGGACCGGGTATCAGGGAAAGTTTTGAGCAGGAAATCTTACGCGTTGTTCATCGTGATCTTCAGAGCATATGCTGAACCAAAGACGGTTGAGTCCCACATTGATGTGCGGATACTGTCAATAATGGTGGCTGGTCCAAAGCAATAGGCGAAAGCGAAGACTCCGAAACTCGCAGCAGTGCCCTGGGTGGTATTGGCGAAGCACACGAGCAACATGGAGGTAAACATTCCAATGCCACAGAAGACCACTAGAGGGCTATGTTAGTTACAAGACTTCATTTTTGTGGAATCGATCAACACTTACAGACTGAGATACGGTTACCGTAGAGGTCAAGGAAGACTCCCAGTAGGGGAACAACGAAGAATCCTACTTATGTTAGCTGACTGAAGGGCACGGGGAAAGCTGAAGAGCAAATACTTACCGGCATATTGCAACGTCGCGCTATACCAACCGGCAGTGATGGAGCTTGTGCCGAAGCGCTGCTCGGCGAGCTCGGTGGCGTTCTGCAGGAAGACAATGGCGGTACTCGTTTCGAATAACGAGAAGCCCATGACTGCCCAGAAGGCCCACGGTAACTCGAGGACCTTACGCAACTCGAACTTCTTTGTCTTTTCCTTCAATCTCTCGCCGGTAGCAGGGTCGCTGACGCCGTGGAATTTGCTATTGGCAACCTTTGTAAACCAGTAAAACACGCCCGTCATGACATTCGTGAAGAGATTCATGAAAACGGCAACCCAAAATACCCAAGCGAAATCTCCCGTCTTCTTGGCGATGATATTGGCAGACGACTTTCCAGCAAATGCACCAATCTTGCCGATGCCGAGTTCGAAGCCCAAAGTCGAGGCAAAGCCGTTGCCGGGGGCAAACCAGGATGAGAAGACTTTGTATTGCGCCACTTGAGTCGCAATATCTCCGAGGGAGCGGATAACTCTGCCCGCAATCATGAACTTGTAAGAGCGGGTCTGAGCTGCCGCTGCCACAAGAATCGAGCCGGCTGAGTAGAGGAAATTGCCGTATAACATGGCACCTAGCTGTCTGTCAGTAATGCTCGTGTCAAGATTTCTGATTATTCGTACCTGCGCCACCAATCCTGTCTGTGACAACACCGCTGAGAAGCATCAGAGCTGTAACCATAAAATCCTCGCTAGCTTCCAAAAGGGAGAACTGCGTGTTGTTGATCTTCATCTCCTTCTTCATCGTTGTCTTCATGGCACCGCTGAGGCCGGAACTCCACTGAGAACCAAATCCAATAGCAGTCACCAACACAACAGAGGCCAGCTTCCATGTCAAAGGAACTGGTCTGAGGCTGCTGTTGACCGAGACTTCGTCGCTATCCGGGGACGCGGAGACAGCGGTTGTAAAGCCCTGCTTCTCGTTTTGACTTGTCTCAGAGACATGGTCTGCGGGAGCTTGCTCGGCATCCCGAGGGGGTGGCACTGCTTCGGCAGCCATTGCTTAGGTGTTGAGGAGGAGAAGAGGTTCAGCTGAGACCGTCCGACTGTGAAGAAACGTAAAGTGTCGACTGTAGAGCGAGAGACGATATCAATATTTGACGAAGTTTGGTTCTTATAGCATGGTTTACATGAATGTCACTCCGAAATTGACCGATGGACAGCAACGGAGGGTCCTAACCCCGACTACGCGTCTAGGGTCGCAAGCCGTGGATGGCCCTGCGTCCGTCAGGCGCTCCCGCTTGGTAACTGGGTGGCACCACGTGCGGATGAGCAGGCGATGAACTTGTCTAGTCCGACGAAGGCGCATCTAATCAATCAGATTAGATCCACAGTTCGCCGAAATCAAGGTTGCAGAGACCCTTCGATTCATGAATCTGCAGGAGCTAGACCCGGTGATGACAAGGTTGGACCACCAAACTGGGAATATGATGAGTCTCCTTGGGGCCGACAAAGGAGGCAAAGCAAGCCAAAGCGCTGTCACTGAAAAAATCTGTCCCGGGGATTGCCCAAAGTGAGTAGCGGCGGCGCAAGAAGTGGAGGTCCATCTTCTCCAAGACGCCAATAAGCATTGTTCTACTGTTTGTGCAGAATTTCTCACAGTGATATTTCATGCAGATCCAAAATCCCTGCCGTTGCAAGGGAAGTCTTGAAGTCTAAATCGCGGTAGTGTGGTGTTGGATGACATTCTGGAGCAACTGGACTTTATCAGATCCTAACATAGAGTACTGGGTTCCCTGAATAAAACCTCGCTGATTCCCGAGGAAAATAGGTCGCGAGCCGGAGGGAAACAGCAGCTTTCATATACTCACTGACTGAACCTAACTTGCATGAGCTAAGGTAGATACGCATAGTTTCCTCTTGTTCTTCATCTTCAATAATAGGTCGAACGAGGTGACGTTGAAGAACGGACGAATCACAGCTTGGAAACAGGTTTCATGGTTCCTCGGTGATACGACGTTATCCCGCTCGGCTCGAGCGAGCGAGCCTGCCAAGACTGCTACGCGGCCAACATCCGTCAAACAACCACGCTTTAAACGTCTTTTTCACGCCCATCTGGACCACTTCGGAATCAACAAAAGTCGATCTATCGAGTGAGTGGGAGCCGACCTAAAAGTGCATGCATCTTGCGGGACTTTTGATCCCTGCACGCGTTCCTTGGTGTGGGCGCGCTGGGGTTGGAGCTAACGTGGATTGATACGACAGAAGGCACATTTGATCTAGAAGCTCACCTTGCAGCTTGCAGCTTGCATTTCTTTGCCGCCATTGGAACCTTTTCCGTTGCTCATTGTGGTTTTATTTTATCAATAGAAAAATGGCGAGGCCGGACGATTCCTCGGCCCCAAAACGCCCTCGCTCGAAGGCAAGTTCGCAAGGGAGACGCAACAGTCGAGACCAACATCAAGATGACGACGTAGTTGTCAATGATGAGACACCACTTCTCAAAGCCAGTCATTCCAATATGGCCGTTCCCTCGTATCAGACTCCCGACTTGAGTCTCGTGGCTGAGACAGAAGCCCCCCAACAACCAGTGTCTTGGATGTCAATGCCCAAGAAGTGGCAGCTGGGCATGGTCGTCTTTGCCCGCCTAGCCGAACCGCTGGCTGAGCGGTCACTTACATCGTACCTCTTCTATCAGTTGAAGTTTCTCAGTCCATCTCTACCAGACTCGGCAATTGCAAGACAGGCCGGTCTTCTCACTGCCGCATTCGCCGCTGCCCAGTGTGTAACTGGCATGTTATGGGGACATGTGGCTGACAGTCCTCTTTTTGGTCGAAAGCGAGTCCTTCTCGTGGGGCTGCTGGGAACTTGTATCTCAGCGATCGGGATGGGTCTATCTACTTCCTATGCCTCTGTGGTGTTCTTCCGTGTTCTAGCTGGAGCACTGAACGGAAACGTAGGTGTTCTCAGGACCATGATTTCGGAAATTGTTGAAGACAAAAGGTATGCGTGACCTGATACCCCTTTCAGTTGTGGTCGCGTGATCAGTGCTAAAAGGTGAACAGGTACCGATCTCGAGCTTTTCTTCTACTTCCAATGTGCTTCAACGTTGGCGTCATCATTGGACCTCTTCTAGGTGGATTTCTTGCCGACCCTATCGAATCTCTACCCTCAATCTTCGGGCCGGGATCCTTCCTCGGTGGTGAAGATGGAGTCGAGTGGATGATACGATTCCCATACGCTCTGACAAACTTTGTTTGCTCAAGCATCTTGATGATTGCGGCTTTGGGAGTAGTCCTCGGGCTGGACGAAACGCATCCACTCCGGCGCCATCGCCGAGACCGAGGCCGGGACCTTGGACGTTTCCTTCTCAGAAAGGTCTTTAGAATGGAAAGCCCGCCCAATGATTATCATCTCGTTGGCAATGCAAACGAGCCGGCCGAAGCCGGAGACGTTGAGGACCAAACTTCGTCCAGCAAGCCCGTGGAAGACAAGGGCCGGGCGCCTCTGCGTGCTATCTGCACCCGCAACGTTATCTTGACGCTGGTTCAAAACTTTTCCTCGGCTCTCCACGTTTCTGCCTTCAACTCCATACTGTTCGTTATGCTACCAGCACCCCAAGCAGACAACACCAATGCTCAACTTCCATTCCGATTCACAGGTGGTCTGGGTCTGTCATCCCAGAAGGTCGGCTTTGCTAACACAGTCATTGGAGCTGTCGGTCTTCCCCTCCAAATCCTCTTGTTTCCCTGGATCAGCAGTAGGCTCGGTGTCCTACAGTCCTACCGCACATTCCTCCCCTTCAGTGCGCTGGCGTACTGCTCGCTGCCCTATCTC